AGATGTACCTGTGTAATGTGTAATTTTTATTTTTTTCTGCATCATGAAGCTTTAACTAATATGTATCTGGGCAGAGAATAAAGTTATTCTAATGCACTTATGCACACACTTACAGGCATGTGCACTGAGATATGTGCAAACATGCGCAAGTATACGTATTTGCACAGACATGTTGACACACATTTACAAACATGCAAATGTAAGTAAAGATACAGACACATGTAGACACACATATATGCATGTACACTTGTACATGCAACATATATGCACTTGCAATACACATGCATATGCAACACAATGTGCAACACTAATAAGCAATGTGCATGTGTGCATGCGTGCTCGTGCACGCGCTCTCACACACACACACACACACACACACACACACACACACACACACACACACACACACACACACACACACACACACACACACACACATATACACACACACACATACACATATACACATATATACACACATTTGCACATACATATGCATAAATATCAGCACACATACTTATACTCACCCTCACTCACATAGGTGTACCCATACAAAAATATACACACATAGGCCCATATGCACAGGCAAATACACAGGCACACATGCACAATCACACACTATCTATTATTTTGGTGATATAAAAAAAAAAACGTGATTTAAAAATTTTCTGATCTCTATATGATAATGAATATGGTGAACTTGCAATGACAATAATGGAAATTGCCAATATGAACATGTTAATGGTTGTGTTATAAAGTAAAGTAGTTCAATATCAGAAGTATTTGTAATAATGCTAGTCATGCTGATGATATTGGGAGTTATATTTCAATTAGTCATTTTTTTGTGTTTGTGATATCATGTGAAGTTTGATTATTCTTGTTTATCAGTGGCCTATATTTATGTTTTTTTTTAAAATTTACACAAGTGAAAGTCATCGCACCTTTTTGGCCGTGATGCGGAAAATAGGAGCTTAAGTTGAAAATAAAGCATCAAAGTTATGCAGTATGTTAATTATGGGATGGAATTCATGTGAGAAATGTCCTGAATTATTCATATTTAACTTTGATGAATGCTTTTTATATTAGAGATTATGTATTTGAATATTATGCATTCCTGTCATCTGCTTTTCGTCCTTTTGTTCATCCATCCATCCATCCATCCATTCATCCATTCATCCATCCATCCATCCCCGTCCCTTGCTATGTATCTTTTCTCAACATTGCATTTTGTTATTACAGAAATATTAGGAGAATTATTATTATTTTCGTTATTAGTCTAAGAAAAGGTCCTCGTGCTCCAAAAAATGATTTCCAGAAAATATGTTCAAAGTTTACCAAATTTCAAAATGCCAGAGACATTTTAGTTCCTAAAAAATGAATGCCAGGGTCTCGAGAGGAAATTGCAAAACAAAGATGACAAATGCATTGAATATAGTTTTCCAGTATTGCCATATTTTCAAGCGTATTTGATTCACTGTGATATTTGAAAAATATTCCTTTCTCATTCAGAATAGGCAGTAATTTTGTGAGAAATTAATAGTGATATATATTAATCAATAATGATGAACGAGGGAAAATTACTAAATGGTATTAATGATAAATGTCAGAACTCTTTAATCCATTCATGACAAGATTTCCCTGCACCATACTGAGCCACCCACTTGGGATTGCATGCAGTGAGCAGCTTCAGCCAGAAATTAGAAGTGTGTAAAACACTTTGTTTCTGGCTGTGGCATAAACAATTTAAGCTTTAAGTGATAACAGCCTTGACAAAACAAGTGAACAACTGTTCAGTGTACATAGCTTCGAACAGGCACAAATATGTGTCGCATGGCATATGGGCCTAGATACGATTTTGATGTCTCCTGCCATGAGTTAATCCCTGGAATACAGATGATATGAAATCATGCTATGGCTATTGTGGGTTGGCACTGCATACTGACATCCTGAGCCTTTATTTTTTAGGAGTAAGCTCACTTTTCTTTGATAGGAGTGACATTGTTTGTTTAGTGTTATTATTACAACACCTAAAGTGTTTTAAGGTACAGACAGCTACAAGCTATTAGGTATCTAATGCTGTGCTGTAAATACTGAACAAAGTGAGCACTAATGGAGACACCATTAATGTGTGCCAACAATACTGCATTACTGGTTACTAGCTAGTAATTTTTATACCACAACTGTTGGTTTAACCCGTATGAACTGTGACCATCACATCACAGAAAAAATTGGTTTATGGAGTGGGTGATGTGAACATGCCATCATGGGAAAATCTGGCTGTGGGGTGAGGTGATGCGAAGTTGCTGTTGTGAGCATTTCAGCTGAAGGCTGGGGTGATGGGAAATGCTCGCCACAAGTGCATAAAGCTCTTGGAGGGTGATTAGACTCATTTGTCATTTAGGAAAGGGCTTTAGTATTATTTCTGTTGATAAATGAGTGTGAAATAAAATTACAAAGGGGATGGATAGTCTTGTCACTACACATGAGTGTTCATGTGCGCCAACCCTACAAGTTGCGCATGTGTCAGAGTGGCCACTCACGTAACCCTAATGTCTGTATTTTGGGCCATGTGATTGCTGTGAAGCATCTGGATCCATTTGTCCCCACTGTAGACCTTCTGAATAGTAAATTTTAATGAATGATTAAGCAGGTAGTGAGCAGAAATAGATGCTTATACTACATATCTTTCTGAGGTACATCAGAAGCCACATTCTGAGGTCCCAGAGAGTAGAGCAATCTGGGTTTAATCTTGGCAAGTCCACACAAGAGACTTGACTTTGTGCATTACGAATCATTTGGAGATTCTGAGACTTTGGGGAAATCTGACAAAGATTATTGATACTGACATTGGTACTGAATGTGCTGTAATGTATGGTGTAGGCCGGTCTAGCCCCTTCCATATGAATTCAGTATTGAGGTAAGGATGATTTTCAACACTAGCAGGAACTGGATAATGGATAGAGCTACCATCCAAAGTCACTGAGCAATATCAGGGTCACCAAACTTGATTTTGCTGATGATGTTGCCATCCTATCTGAGCCTCTGCAGACCCTAGTGGTGTGAGACTGGCATAGAACCTGTTACTTGCATGATCCAGAGCTGCCAACCATGAGCCGTGATCCCCCCCACCATGTTGTGTCCTCTAGAGACCTGAGCAGAGAAGGCTTGTGGGACCACCTAGGAAGTTGTGGCTTAGGCATGTTGTCATTAGATCTGTTGTAATATGTTGAGAGATGAGCCAAGGACCCCTGTGGATGGAAAGGAAGGGAGGATTAGAACTTGTCCATGTGCCCTTCACCATTATCTCCAAAATGGCTGATGCTTATACTTTACTAGGGCTTCACTGTTGCAACTTTGAAGCAGTGTAATTGCCAGTGGCCTAAAATAATGGCAGCAGTGAGTTCCTGTCCCTTCTGCCTTGGAATGCTGCTCTGATTTTCTTTTCTCTATACTTTTACTGTGAATATAAATGTATTTGCATACATACACATATATATCTCTATCTCTATCTCTATCCCTATCTCTATCTCTATCTCTATCTCTATCTCTATCTCTATCTCTATCTCTATCTCTCTATCTCTCTGTCTCTCTCTCTCTCTGTCTCTCTGTCTCTCTGTCTCTCTGTCTCTCTCTCACTCTCTCTCACTGTCTCACTGTCTCACTGTCTCACTGTCTCACTGTCTCACTGTCTCTCTGTCTCTCTATCTCTCTATCTCTCTATCTCTCTATCTCTCTATCTCTCTATCTCTCTATCTCTCTATCTCTCTATCTCTCTATCTCTCTATCTATCTCTCTGTCTATCTCTCTGTCTCTCTATCTCTCTGTCTCTCTATCTCTCTGTCTCTCTATCTCTCTGTCTCTCTATCTCTCTGTCTCTCTATCTCTCTGTCTCTCTATCTCTCTGTCTCTCTATCTTTCTGTCTCTCTATCTTTCTGTCTCTCTATCTCTCTGTCTCTCTGTCTCTCTGT